ACCCCTTAAAAGTAATGCCAGGCAGTCACGCTCTCTATCTAACCCTCAAATGTATGCAAATCCATCACATTCGACATACACATTAATATTACAAGAGAATCGAGTAGTTTCACAATTCAAAACCCATAGTTAATACATGAAGATGGATAGTTCAAACATAAGATTTAATGAGAAAAATTCACTGTACGTCACTAAACTTGAGCCGAGTGACAGTTTGGTACCACTACTTCAAAATACCCTAACTACGGTCCAAGTACTTGAGCAAGGGGTTCACTTTGGTCCATTTGTATGATTTCGTGTACGTATTTGCTGACTTGGCCTAGTCAGCGGCCGCCAGCTCGCTTTGACCGACACCTGGTCGATCCTAGGGTGAATACTAGTCGATTTGTTTTTCTTTTGCAAAAACGCCATGACCTGGTCGCACCTGGTCGGCCGCTCGCTTATCCCCTTGCTCTCCTCTTCTTCTCCTCCCAACCCTAGCCCAACTCCCATCCCCGTCGCCACAGCCATTGCCGACGTCGACGCCCTCCACCGCCGCAACCATTGCCGACGCCCTCCTCCGCCGCCTCTGTCCCCGCCGTCATGTCGTCTTCCAACTCCATCCGCAATGCATTGCATGGCCGCTCCGTTGCTGTACCATTGATTGGGTGCCCAGATTGCGGCGAGCAGGTGAGGTTCTGCTAGTCTAGCACCGATGAGCATGATGGATGGATCTTCTACAAGTGCGTCAACCACGCTGTAAGTGCCCGTTCCTAGCTACTTGTTGATTCATGTCGTGTCAATTCTTAGCAAAAGTAGTATTGAAGCAGAGCACTGATTAAATTAGGCACATTAGTTGGTTAACTAGTCATTGCTCTGATTAATATAGTAGTTTAAACTGTCCTTGTTGCAAAATTACTGACAGAACTAGTTGGTTAACTAGTCTGCCATTGATTCATGCACTCTGAACTTTACTGTCACTCTGTAGGTGAATAAAGATGTAATTTTTTTCTCAGGTCACTTGTGATTTCTGGCACTGGGAGCTTGAATATGTGGAGCATCTAGTTGAAACAAGGCGTCTGGTTGGTGATGCTGATGTAGATGCAATTGGTGCAGCTGAGGACAGGAGGAAAGAGCTTGAGAGGCAGAGGACGGAATCAATGGTAGGCAGAGGCATGGCTGGAAGAGGCACTGTAGGCAGAGCTAATTATGCCAGCTCCAGTGAGAATAAGTATGCTACCAAGTAGCAAGTTGCTATGCTGCTAGGATTAGGCAGAGAGATTTTGCTGCTACTAAAGCCGCTGATGGCTTTTGTTATAGTGCTTTGTGTGATGTGTTTCACCTTAATTATGAAGAAGTGAAGTGTTGTCAAATGAGTAGGTGTAGGTGTTCTAAGAGATCTCTTGTTCTAAATGAGTAGTGGCAAGGTTGTTTGCTTGGTATGAAGTCTTGGTTGTAATGCTTGTTGTAATGGATAATATATGCTTGTTGTAAGACTTTGTCCTAATGTTTGATGTCATAAGTGTAGTTAAACTAATTCTGACAGAAGTGTACTTTCTCCTAATTCTGTTAGAATTGTACTTAACCTCATTGCTTTGAAATTAGTGACAATACTACTGTAATAAATAATTGCTGACAGAAATGCACTTAACCTAATTGCTGTCATAACTGAACTAACTTATGTTAACTAATTGCTGTCATAACTATAACTCATGTCAGCCCAGGTCCCCTTTCTCAACACAACTGAACTCAAAAGCAAGCATGTACTTGCACCTGCTGCAAACACCCACCCAGCAACTTGCACTCTACATGTAGCTTTGGTCCACCACCACCACCACCACCACCACCAGATCCCTTTCTTCTTCCTCATCTTTCATCTTCAATTTCGTGCACCACCAGATCCCCTTGTATCCTCTGTCCAATAGCACCACCAGAACCCCTTCTCATCTTCATCCAGCAGTAACCATGGTGTCCTGGGATGATCTTCCCAGTTCTTCTAAAGATGACTCTGTGACCAGCAAGGTTAGTGTTCTCCCCACCTAGTCTAGGGTTTCTTAGCTAGGGTTTCTCTGTCAATTGATTCCAAATGTCTTTTTTAGCCACTTGCCACAATTTTCTGTGAGGAATGGAGTGGCTTGGCTACAGATCTGCCTAGCTTTAGATGTGGGCATGTATCTTTGTGTGAGAAGCATGTGGCATTTGAATCTGTTGATAGTGGCAGAAGGTTTCTAGCTTGTGCACAAAAGGTTAGTAATTTTTTGCATTTACCATTGTTAAACAGGAAGTCATTTGAAGTATGGTTTAAGTTTCATCATCATGCACAGAACTGAATACTGGAAGTTAATTGAATTTTTTGTTTGGTCTAAATTGTTAGGAGGTACCTAAATGCAGATATGTTGAGTGGGTTGACTCTGAATGGCCTGATGCTCTGAAGATGAGCCTAGATAGTATATGGACCATGTATGCAGAGGAGAAAAAACAGAGGCTCAGACAGAATGTTGTGAGTGCTGAAGAAAACTTGAAGGTTCTTGAAGAGAAGAAGAAGATGGAGAATGAGTCGAGGCATTTCAAGCTTGATTTTTCTAAGATGGTGGCTGAGAAGGAGCAGGCAATGAGCCAATTAGGCAGCGCACAACTTGCTCTGACTGATCTAAAGGAAGAACTTGAGAAGAATAAGATGACATACAAGTCAGTAACCAACATCGATCAGGTCTTCAGGGTTAAAGCAGAGAAAGAGAGG